GGGGAAGGGGACACCCAACGAACGGACACACGTCCAGTGACGCCACACGACCCAACTACCTTCCCCTCTACGTTACAACAAACCACACACGCTCTCGACCGGCCACGACCGGCCCACAGCTACACGACGGCCGACCGCCCACCCCCAGGGCGGGCCCAGGCCGGTAAAACTGTGAATAGATCATATTTCAAAAATACAATACAAATATTTGCACTTTTACATTTATCAATATTTAGATGACAAAGATGAAGAGTGACTGAAGTCACGAAGTAAGACTTTGTGCGAGCCGGAGTTCCGGACTTCTGGTAGTTTGTATAGTGATAGGGTCTGTGTGGATTTTGCGCACCCAATCACACTGACGCAGAGACACAGACTCTTCAAAGTGACTTCAAGCTTCAAAGTATAATATTTCCTGCTCAGAATCTCAGTCTGACTCAGGAGTCAGATGCTTTATATATTTATAAATAGTTTTTACTTTTATTTATACATAGTTTACATTATTTTTATGCAGAATTGCAGATGCTTAATTTGAAAATAAATTAAAAAAAGTAAACATTTTTAGAGTTCATATCACCGGTGCCTAAATGAAATGTGACGAAAAAGTAGCGACTCGTCACATTTTATCAAAAAGCACCCAGGAAGGTTTCCCGCCCCCAAAAATAGTACAGGAAACAAATGAAATGTGACGATTCGTCATATTTATATATCCCGATGTTTATTGGTTCGCGTACTCGTCAAAAATCAGGACTTTATATATAGTTTTTGATAAGGAATAGTTTTGTCGTTTGGATGCACAAAGTTGAAGCCTTGAAGGTAAAGTATCAAAACAGATCCAAAACCAGACCTGGACTTTCAAAAAAATATTTATTTACATTTTTCTCGAATTTTAGTTTTTATTAGTTTTTATATTTGAAATTTGGCTAGCATGATTTGGGTTTAGGGTTTTAATTATTTTAGGAGGCTAATAAATATGACTTCACTTTTGTATTATTTATTTTTTTAGGAGGCTGTGGTGCTGTGCTTCACTCGCTGTGCTTCACTTGCCCACCCCGCCCCGTAGAGTCCACGGCAACCAGGTGAACCCGTGGTCCTTTACATAGCTTATCAACACGCATCGTGATCGGAGCCACTACCACCACTAACATTAATACTCGACTTACGATGTTCGAAAATATATATGAGTGTTGCTTATTGTACGGTGCAGGATATACATCTGTTGACTTATAGTTGTATTGTTGTTGTATATACGTACCGTTGTGGTGAGGTGCTTGAATTAAATGAATTCCATTGCATGCATCTAGTGATTAAAATTCATTATAGCTAGCAACATGCGCATCCTGTGTATGCAGTGGGCGGTTTTAGCTGGCTTTGCAACCACTGTGCCAGCACAATTGTGTATCTAACTGTTGATTAAGTGTACACGCTTACTGTAGAAGTTGCAACTTCATTCATCTCCTATTTCGGTTTTAGCATAATTTTTCGGTCTTTTGATTCCGACAAATAACTACCAAACCGTTTGCGAGGCAAATAAGGGCTAAACCTCCCGCCCTATAATAAAATGTGACTTATTTTTAGAGTTGCTACATATTGTATTTACATTTTTAACTATTTATAATTATAAATACATAAATAGTTACTGGTCAGTTGTCTCAATTTTTTTAAGTAAAAATGTGAACTGAGAATTCAAAACAAGTTGATTTTGTATGACGTATTAGTTTTACTTTTTTTCATAGCAAAAAAGCAAAAAAAACCCCCCCCTGTAAATACATAGCGCGCAAGCCTTTGGGTTTTAGTCGTTTTGTTGTTTTTTTAACACAAAATGAAACAAAATGAAAACAAAACACAAAAATAGAAGTGCTTTCTTTGTTTTCAGTCCATTCTGATTTTTATATCTAAATCAAAGACATTGTATGATGAAGGCTATGTATAAATTATATAAAAATACTGGTCGTGATCTCACTTGATCAGTGTATAAATATCAGTGATCCATCTGGGCTCTTGAGGTGAGTGGTGAGTGTTGACTGGATCATTCTTCCTTTGTTTTTAGTCCATATAAATCATAGCCTTCTTTGTATGATGAAAGCTATGTATAAATAGATATTAAAAAACTGATCAGTGATCAGTGTATAAATATCAGTGATCAATCTGGGGTGAGTGGTGACTGGTTCATTGAACTACTGATGATAAATATGTTATTTTTACGTCCCTTTTTTTAAACATAAAAATGCTTCAATTCACAGTAGATATTCTATATGTGACAACAAAACCACCATAGGACTATAGAGTATAGAGTAGCAGCAAAGATATATTGTTGTAAATAAAGCAACAACTAGTTACATAGATGTAATCTGTGATGTTGCTCGATCGGAATGTACACTTACTCTCTTAGCGCATAAATTTAGTCCAGCTTTATTTCTATCAACAGCATTTAATAGTTTACAATGTATCTACTATACCTGCTGACGTGTATATCTGAATATGTAAATTCGGCCACTGTTCGACATCACGTACAGTGCTGAGTCGAGAGGTCATTATCGGTACGCCATCACGGTAAACGGAATTGAGATATGAAGCGAGTATGAAGCGAGTATGCTCCACATGCGGATTTACAGCCATTTTGATATAGCCTGGTAGTACAGACTGGCTGTCGTGTACATACAGTATTGGAAGTCCTGTAGCGTTTTGTACCCCTTAACCGGTGAATGTTATTAAATGTTCAATTCACTGCAATAGAAAGGCGAACGGCGGGGGAGTTTTAGAGTTTTAGATTTTTACTGCAGTTCTTATACGAAGTTTGAAATTGCTTTCGTAGGATAAACCTTACTTGACACAAAATAGTAGATCCTACAAAGCATATCAAAGTCGAGACTCGACACTTGCAAAAACACAGCAAACGGGCCTTATGCTTTGCTTCTCGTGGAAGCCGGACGCCAGTATGAGTCATTTTCCTGCCTTTTAGCATCCACACAAACCCACCACTGAATCTATGACACACCGACAACCTGGTGAATTAACTCAGCAATCAGTACCAAACATCTTTATTCAGCATATACCAGCCGATTCAAACGCATGTACTATTCACCGCTTTCTCCTGCCGTAAGGCTTTGTGCGACTCTCGCGCGCACTCGAACGGCCTCGTTCCTCAGCATACCGTGGTTCTCCGCCAAACCCTCTCCTGGCTGCCATCCCCGGGGGTAGCACGTGCGTGCCCATATATGGCTCGGGATGGCGAATTGGCGGTTCATGCTGATACGGCCGTAGTGAAGGGTTAGGACTCCCATACATACCCTCACTGGAATGTCCACGGTGCCGCCTTCTGTGCATGGGAGGGGATATGTCTCGTTCCCTATATCTCTGTTTGACGCCATATGAATCGCGATCCCGTTCTCTACTGAGAGAATCGCGATCTCTTTCTCTGTACCTACTACCGCTGGGCCCGCCCCGGTGTGTGTGCGCGTATCGAGGCGATCTGTCACGTGATCTAGATCTGCTTCTGGAGTAGCTCCTGCTCCTACTCCGGCCGAATGACTCACCGCTAGAACTTGAACTGTACCGAACTCTTTTTTTCCTTTTTTTCTTACCTTTTCCCTTCTCCCGTTTCTGCCTCTCTCGTTCCATGCGGTCAATGGACTGTGTGATATTCTTACCCGCCGGGCCCAGTCTCTTCACCACCCCCGCAAATCTATTTATAGACGCCGTACCGGTATCCATTGCGGGACCACCTGCAGAGCCCTTCGCACTCAGATTCCCCAAGCGCCCACTCAGACTCATAGGCAACCCATTTATACGCCTCTCTGACCCCCCCACACTAACCCCTACACTAAACGTAGCAGGAGCCGTTACAGTCTTTCTCGCAGTATCGGCCTGCCCGTTGATGTTGCGCTGTACCGGTTTGATAGCGGGACTGTTCATGTCCTTTGCGTTGCTCTGGGTGGTGTCATCTAGCATGCTATCCAATTCGTCGTGCCATGCGGCGGTATCTCTGCTCGTGTTATTTATATTATCGATATGCCTGTTGCTGTTGCTCTTATTGTTACTATTACTAATACTGACCCCCTTCTCACCCCGCGGGTCGAACGGTCCTCGGCTGCCCCGCCTCTCTCTCACACTCTCAGTCCTGCCCCGTAAACTGGGTGCATCCATGCGTGTCTGCACACTACTTGGATCTACCTTACTCCCAGTACCTCCGGTGAGAGATTGCACGCATTTCCCAGTACGCGCATGTATATCCTGGCCCATATTACCATCCACACCCCCCTTGGTCCGGCCAGCGACCTGCTTGACCCTGTCACTACTGCCCCCGCCACTCCCCATTTGCCGCGTATCTCCATACCCCTCCGTATCCGTCCTCGTACACTTGAGAGGTTCGGTACTACCGGCCCTGGCGGTATCTACACCAGGTGCACCACTAACCGGACCCTTAGTACCGGCAGAACTGTCCCGAATTCGCGCACTGGCACGGGACAGGGATTCTGATTGGGTGCCTCTCAACCGCTTGGCCGAATTGGGTCGGCCACCCGAGTCTACGAGCGGCAGCAGCGACGGTGATTCCTGGGCCAACCCCGAGGGGGACCCGAGCCGGTCCGTTCTATTTATAGAACCGGAGTTATGGCTATTAATAGAACCGTGGGTGGTGTTGTTGGTGTTGCTGTGGTTGGTGGTAGCGCTGGCGCTGTTGGTGTAGCTGCCCATGCTACCAGGCATGTGCTGGCTGCTTGCATTGGATTGGGTGTGGGTGGCGTTGAGTTTCCGTAGTTCTCTGCGCCTGTCTTTGACCTCCCACTCGTGCGATGAGTCACGGGGCAGCGTGTTCCCGAACTCCGGGGGCCCTTCCCGCAGAAATTTGCGGTTAAGCTCGACCAAATATGGCAATTCGAGCGCCTTCTCGGCCGTCCAGCGTTCTTCGGGGTCTAGTTTTAACAGCTGATCTAACATATCAACGACCTATTGAGTGGTAATGATTTAAAAATGAGTCAAGAGACGCGAGAAAGAAGAAAGAAAGAAATGCCAATAGCGGAAGAAGAAAAAAAAACATCATAATATATATATATCTATATATACATTCAAATTACATACATACACACATATCAAATACATAGAAATAGAAAAAACATACATACATACATACATACATACATACATACATACATACATACATACATGCATGCATATATACATATACATATACATAATACACATAATACACAATAATAATAATGATAATGACAAAATAATAATAAAAATAATAGTAATAATAATAATAATAACAATAAGATATATATAACACAAATATATACACAAAACTCTTTCGATGAATAATGTACGTACTGATTTAGAGAGCTTCTCGAAGTGTTCTTTTACTCGTCGAGGGTAGTTGGAGTTGAGCCGTCCAAAAAAGGGCAACAGCACACACTTGGGCCAATTGGAGGATGTTGGTGTCCCGCAAACCCTGAGAAATCCATATTAGTAACAGTTAGCATAGCAGTCCAAAGGATAAAGAAATTGGACAGGTGCAGTAGTATATTTCGGGACAAAGTACAGGGTCGGTAGTTCGTATAAGTTAGTTTAGCGGTCCAAAGTAAAAAGAGGACAGGTGCAGTCGTATATATCGGGACAAGGTACAGGGTAGATAGTTCGAATACAGGGTAGATAAGTTTAAATACTGGGTGAATAGTTCTGGGCCGTATTCACTGATTGTTAGTGAATCAAATATAATATACAGAGCAAATTTCAGACTACGGTGAAACAGCGGGGCAGGTCAGCTACCTTTGGTTTTGGTATAAAAACCTATCGAGAACGTTCGCAGGTTACAAGTTAGCATGTGAGAAGGGAGTTCTTATTCTATACTTAATTCACAGTGCTTTGTCGCACCTTTGCAGAATACAATCATACACAACAATATACATACATACACATATATATACATACACACACACACATATAT